TGATACAAAGAAGAAGGCAGTTTCGTATATACAACTTTTTATTAAAAGCCGGTTTTTGACAGTTGCTCACTTGTAAAAATTTGATGTAGCGTTACCCAATTTTAGTTTTTTTGGTAGATAGTATTTCATATTATAAATTTTGGAAATATATGTTTATCAAATAGTTACGTTTACATCTATTTTTGTAAAAAGAATGTATTAATGACTAAAAAGAATTAATATTTCATAATAATATAGTGAAATTTTATATAAAACTCGATATAATATTTTATATGGGCTGTTTACACGGGGGCGTTTGCGAATCACGCTCCGGTGTAAATTTAGCAGAAAGAAATAAATAGAACCAAGATATTGTATTTTAGTGTTAATTCAATACAGAGTCAATTTATTTTCAATATATAAATATATATGTTGGTATAACAAAATATTTAAATACCTTTGGACTGGAGTGGCCTAGTAGCTGCTGCGCTCGCGTTGATCTTCTAAACCGAAGTGAAGTACAGGACTTGCGGGATTTTAAATCGGACCGCCGGACAACCGATATTAAGCGGAAACTTAACGAAGGTTTATTGTCCGGCGGGAAACTTTAGTTAACGGCGCGAATTAATATTAGTACGTGTGCACACGTATGTGTGTGTACATATGCACATATGCCAACATTAGGGCGGGTCGCAAAAATATAGAAATATTTAGGGTGAAGGCCTAAACATACTGGCCCTCTTGCGGCAAGCAACATCCAACATTTATGCAGCAACTACCAGATCAACTATATACATGTCCAAACAAAATATTATAAAAATTCATAAAAAATGTGTTTCTCTGGTTTCGTTGGAGAGGAGCCAGATTCCTCGTTCGTCGTCCCGCATCGTTTCACATGCGTTCTCCTCGAACCTAAGTTGCTGCTTGAGGGGAAGAGATGTAAAGTATAAGAGTGAAGATACGTGGACATTTTCAAGTGCACTTTTATTGAGAAAAAGAAAGATTCATAAAAATAAATTTCAAAAATTTATATGTAGAAATTCATTCAATCAGAAAAGTTATAAATATAAATGTATTTGTTTATGTTTATGCTCTGGTAACGCCAGAGAGCACCCATCCGAAGATGGTGCTCTGAGCTAGCAGAGGCCCAAAGGAATTTGGGAGTATACCCGGCATGATTACGACGGCGTAAACGTCAATGCCGAGGACTTGGCGAATGGGCGTCGAACTATAGAAATGTGGGTCGGCCAACCGAATGTGCTGGTATGCTGTGGCGACGGCAGGATCTACGTTGCTGGCTAGCGATACGCGGTGGTAGTTCGTTTTAACCGTCGCGTGGGTCGGAATACGTTTATTATCGCCGTGCTTTCCTCGAAGGCATAAGACGCAACCCGTTTGATTTCCGACTCGCGTCTGTTCCAGCCTCAATTCCCGAGCTAGGTCCGCTGAAATTATCGTGGTGGCGCAGCAACTATCGATGAGAGCGCGGACTAGATGAAGGCGCCCCATCGCCTCGACTTTTACTACTGCTGTCCGCGCAATAGCAATCATAGGGCTCAATGTTGGACCCGCGATAGCGTGTTGTCCCGGGAGCCCGTTGCGGAACATGTCGGGTGTGGCTACCTGGCGGAATCTAGGAGCAAACCTATTGTCGTTCTGTCGACGCAGTCGGAAAGGCCTAGTTTCCACTGCGCCGTCGCTGAATTCTGCGTGGTAACCCAAGACGCCGTGTATGCTCTCGGTCTTCTAAGTTGTCGCGTTCATGTTGGAGCAGGGGTCGAAAAGACCTGGTTTCCGATCCCCTATTCGTGGTCGGGCGAAGAGGCATAGTCTCCGCTCCGGACTCACATAATTCGCTCAGTTCATTTTCTGGACGAAGAGGCCTAGTCTCGTTTCCAGAGTCAGAGGCGCAAATGGATATCGCACAATCAGCGTTTTCTTCTTCTACTTGAACGCTCCAAGGCTTGCTGGTTTCATTCTCTGACCTCCATGAGTCTATATTCATCGATATGGAGGGTAGAATGGTGCTTCTCGTTGCATTGACGGCATTTCGCATCGCTAGTACAATTTTCGGTTTTGTGGTCCATAGAAAGACAGTTGCCGCAGAAATGTCCTAGCAGCGCCTCCCGTAGCCTCTCTTCTGGTGTCTTGGCACGATAAATTGGGCACAGACGAATTGGGTGTTTCCCTTCACACAATCGGCACGCCAAAACAAAGCGTTGAGGGTTCTGCATGGCCTTCTGTTTTAATGTGCTGAAGAGACCCATTTTTTCCTGAAATATTTCCTGCTTTAATTTTGTTTTTCAACTTGTTCGCAGTTGATTCTCTTTTTTATTGTTGGGTGGCGAGTGAATAAGATGGGAATTATTTAAGCATTTGGCATAAAAAAAATCGTTTGTTAATTGCAACAAGATTGGTCCGTCTGAACGTGGCATTATTTTCTATCAATTGCCCTTCTCCAACTAACGCGTGTAAATATGGCTTAATCCAAGTTTGCAACCCACGAAAATGACAAATGGATCGCACAAATGCCATACATTCCATTGTGCAGGGATGCATGGGCAGAGTTAGATTTTAATTATATCAAAGACTGTAACTTTGCAGTTATTATTTAGAGGTGCCAAAATTAAGTGCACTTGTGAAACTGATTATCTCCATTATGACTTCATCTACTAATATTCGTAATTAGCATTTAAACTTCATAGATTAAAAGTGGCGAAAAACGTATTAATATACACATGGAGAGTTTTTAGCCATTCTCACAACCCTACAACTAGCCTGCCACCCAAAAATGCCACTGTAGGTGATACTCGGCTAAAAACAGGGTAGCTCATATGCAGCGGAATTCATAAGTTGAATATTAGATTTTATTACAAATGTCTTATTCCCTTTAGAATTTTACGTAAAAATATGTGAAATAACTACAAAAAGTTAGTGCATTCATATTTCCTAATGACAATGCCTCTTTAAGTGCGAAAAATGCATTTAGGTTAGCAAAGCTAACGATTATCGAATGGTGCGATGGTATGTATCAACATATGTTTTTTCCATTTGTGGAACGTATGTAGATAGAAGTATATGTGAATTTATACACCCGTACTAGGACGTCACTACGTTCTGACATGGGTTTAGTACTTTTTAGAAAAGTGTTTAATCTACTCTAGTACGTTTTATTAAAAAATCTACTCAATAATACAGTTTTAATTCATGTCAATATTTAGGTATGGATGACGATGATCTTAATGAAAATTAATGTTTAAGTTAAAGGTTATTACTTTGATCATTATGTGAAATAATCCAATTTGGTGATATTGCGAATGTGAAAAGGATGACCCCCGGCTACTACGAAAATTTGTATTTATCCCAATTGTTAGAGTGGTGCGTACTAAATAATTTGAGTAGTCCGAGCCCTGTTTCACACATATGCCAATGAAGAAAATTCATTCATTTCATTGAAAGAATGGGATGGGAAGTACATTCATACACGAGGGAATTACGCAATCGCAGGTAAGAAGTTTGTAGAGGTTGTAAAAATTAATAAATTTAATTTGCAATTAACACTAATATTTTTTTCTTTTCAGACTCCGAATTAAGCAGTGCACGGCAGTCCGCGCGATTGACTTAATATGTGACCTGGTCTACGGAAAGGGGGCTTAGGTGTCAAAAACTCAATTTTCACTTTTTGGTTGATTCGGATGGAAGATGAGATGCTTTTTCACGTGGTGAAAAGCAGAAAATCCTAACTTGCTTAGAAGTGTACTAAAAATGTAGAGAAAGAAGAGTAAAAATACGACAAAATATAATTTATTGGTAATGAACAAAATACACTAGCAACTTACACGATGAACTATAATAATATTCCGACCAACAACAACACTTACTGGACCAACAACAACACTTACTGGACGTCCGGCGCGGAGAACAATTAACGAGATAATGAGAAACTGACGAAACGAGTTGCTTACTTTTAACAGCTTTTTCACAGAAAACTGGTTTTCGCACGCAAGCTCCCTTTTCGTAGACCAGGTCACATATATGGATTTCTTGAAATATCCAAGTTATAGCCGATATAATTTAAATTGATGGTCGTCAAATCCTACTCAATTTGAGCTGTATCCTTTGCCAGCCAATACGAGTCTTGAATATACGGGCAAATCGGCTCAACACGGGACCTTTAAATCCATATTTATTTGATTATAACCGCACCTTTTTGGTAATCGCATAAACTTAACTGAAATGGAGTCTCAGCCTGGTTATATCAAATCGGGCGATACACGGAAGCTGCGTTGCCTGTGCTGATGTTTGGAACACCGTTCCATACTGAAGAAGTGGATAAAAGCGGTAATGTTATGCTATCGTGTGAAGGTATTGAATATCAAAATTAACAAAAAACTAATATTTTTAGTATGATATTAAATAAAAAGATTTACTCTTAAAGACAGTAAATGCTGCATTTAAAAAAATAGACTAAATAAAAAAGCAAACATGTGTAGTTAATTTAAAAACATATGAAGCCAAAGGACAGAGCTTGCAAGCTTATAGTAGCAACTATTTAAGTTGAAGTGTACCAGACAAACGTACTAATACCAAGTAGTAGGGAAGTTGCAAATTCGTGCTGGGAACATTTTTTTTCGCAAGAATTTGTGTGTAGGATTGGGGCCCACGGTTGCTTTTTGTCAACAATAATTTGCATTAACAAGTTCAAAAAATTTAAAAAATGTACAATCTTGCTGCGATTTGCTAATGAGCGATGTATGTAAATATTTTTTTTTTTTTACTTAATTAATTTAATTAATTCCACTGATTTGAAAGGTATTGGTTTGAAAAAGCTGTGTTCGTAATCAGAAACAAAATACGTATAGATTCCCGATTTTTTTTGTTTTTCTCACTGGAAGTAATTAAAAAAGTTATTATTTATGTTCGAAAAGCAGCCGTGGACGCCGATTAAACTGTGGTCAACTCCACAGAATCTGTATAATCAAAATGAGGTTTTAAGGGTGTTTATTTAATGGTATAGGTTCCAGCCTGGCGTGCGGGTCCTCAGTGCAGCTGACGGTTCTCTTCGGGGTAGTATCCTGGTTTTCTACTACTTCCATCATCATCCTTGTTGGAAATGTCGTTGGTCTGGTAACAAGGTTTTATGTTTTTACCTTCTTTTTTTTGTTGTTAACCGTTTATTGGAGACCTAATTGATTTGTGTTTTTATCAGGGATTGCTTGCATAACGACATGCTGCGTATCGTTCGATTAAGAGAAAAAAGAAGCTGATTGGCAATTTTTCTCTCCGAACCCTTTTGGAACCGAAGATATGTGAGTTTTTAAATATTTTTATTATTATTTTAAATTATTCTTTTCGGGGCGGGTCTACACTATAAATTGCCTACTCAGTTTATGCAACCCCTTCAAAATAAAGCGGATTTGAAACAAAAAACATATCGTACATTTGTTAAACTTGCTAGTTTTCTACTGTTTGCTTCTTCTTCTGTGGCGTCGTAGTTCGCTACTTCTGCAGTTATTTTAATTATGGATTCAGATCTGAGGATGGTCGTTTTTGTGTAGCCAGATCAACCCGGGGTAATTCGGGTAAGAACCATCACCGCAAATACAAAGAAACAAAACAAAAGATACTCCCTGGTAAACTAAAACACGTTCTCTAAAAAAGTTAGACATGGAATCCCTCCTATTACCTAGAAGTGGAATGTTGTGGTAAAAGGAAGTGGAATATAATAAAGGCGATGAAGGGTAATTTATGAGGCGGTTGTTGGCTCCGAGTTTCCATCGTTGTATGGCGGGAGCAGAACCAATAGGGGTCTAGTGGCTTGACCTTTCTCCGTCAGGATGTCCACTACGCGCACTCTGCCATCGGTACCGAGGTGTAAGTTGACAACTCGCCCCAACCTCCATTCAGTTGGGGGTAGATTGTCTTCCCTGATAACTACAAGATCACCTGTTTTCATATTCTCCTTGGGGTGCTTCCATTTAATTCGCTTTTGTAGTTCGGCTAAGTACTCCACTTTCCATCGCCTGCAAAACGTCTGATGCAGTGCTTTTAGTTTTTGCCATCGATTGACGATGGAGGCAGGGTTCTCATTCACATCAGGTTCTGGCGGAGCCATAAGATGTCCACCAGTGAGAAAATGGCCTGGAGTAAGCGGCTCCAGATCATTTGGCTCATTTGAAGAGGGACTCAGTGGTCGCGAATTGAGGCATGCCTCAATCCGGCATAAAAGCGTACTAAGCTCTTCAAAGGTGTATTTGTGAGCGGATGCCACCTTTTTAAAGTGGTCTTTAAAGCTTTTTACACCTGCCTCCCAGAGTCCTCCCTTATGAGGAGCGTCAGCAGGTGTAAAATGCCATGTAAGTGTTTGATGGTTGTATTTAGAAGTCGTTTTGTCTCGCGCGTCCGACAAGAAAGCTTTGAATTCGGATCGTAAAGAACGCGAAGCTCCGACAAAATTTGTACTATTGTCGGAGTAGACATTTTTCGGGCTTCCTCTTCTAGACACAAATCGAGCAAATGCTGCTAGAAAGGATGGGGTACTAAGATCACTCGTAGCTTCTAAATGAATCGCTTTAGTAGTGAAACAAACGAATAGGCAAACATACCATTTGGATATTCGACAACCTCTGCCGCGGTAGCTTTTGATCTCAAAAGGTCCGGTAAAGTCTACTCCCGTAGTCGTGAACGCGCGCGTAAACGTAGTGCGTTCCTGGGGAAGAGTACCCATAATTTGCGTCTGAGATTGTTTTTTGTAGATCGTACAGATCTTACAATTGTGGATGGTAGACCTAATCATGTTTTTTACCATGGGAATCCAGTACTGGGTACGGATAAGGCGTAGCATGAGTGGATTTTCTCCGTGCAAGGAAACTTGGTGAATCAACAGGACGATAAGACGAGACAATCTGCAATTATACGGGATAATTATTGGATGGCGCTCATTATATGCTAAGTCCTGGGATGCTCCGAGGCGACCTCCAGCCCTGATGATGTCGTGCTTGTCGACGAACGGATTAAGCGGAAGGATTTCACTCTTGGCATCGATGGGTTTTCTAGTTTTCAAATTCCTGTATTCTTCACCGTAGTGTTGCTTCTGGTAGATTTTTATCAAGATCTGTGTCGTTGTCTTAATTTCATCTGATGAAATTAAACGAGAATTTTCCTGAAATAAAGCTTTTGTTTGCGGGTGAGTTCTTCGGTGGAATCTCATGACATATGCTAACACTCTCAAAGCTTTCGGTTTCATATGAAAACCGGTCAAGAATATCGATATCATTTACTTTTGTTGATGCATAAGCGTGTGCCCTTTTTTCTTCAACTTCTGTGTGATAGTTAATTTCTTGAGCAGGCCATTTAGAGTTGTCTTCTTGCAACCAAGAAGGTCCCTGCCACCACAAAAAATTGGTCACCAACTCTGACGCAGCCAATCCTCTGCTGGCCAAGTCGGCTGGATTCGAAGCCGAGTCTACATGTAACCAGTCCCTGTTACCGACTTTTTCTACTCTTTTCTTAATTCGGTGTGCGACGAAAGTTAACCAAGAACAAGGCGACTTTCGTATCCATGCGAGTACGATGGTCGAATCTGTCCAAAGATATGTTTTCACTTGCCCTAGGTTGAGGTTGTTGATTACGGATTCTATGATTTCTGCGAGCAGCACGGCTCCGCAAAGCTCCAGTCGAGGTAGCGATATAGTTTTGACAGGAGCTACTTTGGTTTTTGCCAAAAGAAGGTTGACCAAAACTTTGTCATCTCTTTTGACGCGCATGTATGCCGTAGCCGCATATGCTTTTTCTGATGCGTCGCAGAAACCATGTATCTCGATGTCATCTCCTGGTGAGAAGTGTACCCATCGAGGTATTCTAATATTGTCTATTTCATGGTAATGTTTGGTAAAATTCTGCTATCGTTCCATAGTAGTAGAAGACACAGTCGCATCCCAGTCTGTGCCTTCTAGCCAAATACTCTGCATAATTATTTTGGCCACGACGACTATTGGAGCAAGCCATCCTAGCGGACCAAATAGCTTGGCGATAGCTGATAGTATCGTCCTTTTTGTAAGTGTCTCGCGGTAATCCAATGGTCTTGCCATGAAATAGAATAGATCGGTATGGGCATTCCATCTTATGTCAAGAGTCTTAACCGTGCTAGTATCTTCGAATGCCAAAAAGTCTTCACTGAGTAGATCCGTTTTTGGGATGTCCTTGAGAATTTCCTCACAGTTTGAGGTTCATTTCCTTAGCGGAAAACCGGCTGACCGTAGCACTTCAGAGATTTCATCTCTTGCTTTTACGGTAGAGTCGATGCTGTGTCCTCCAGCTAGCACGTCATCCACATACATGCATTTTCGTAGTATGTTAGATGCTATTGGGGAAGAACTTTCTACATCGTCAGCCAGTTGTAAAAGTGTCCTTATCGCGAGGTAAGGAGCACAATTAATCCCGAAGGTTACAGTCTTTAATTCGTATAGACTTACAGGTTCGTTCGGGGTTGTACGGAAAGCTATCCGCTGATNAGTTGTAAAAGTGTCCTTATCGCGAGGTAAGGAGCACAATTAATCCCGAAGGTTACAGTCTTTAATTCGTATAGACTTACAGGTTCGTTCGGGGTTGTACGGAAAGCTATCCGCTGATATTTGTCGGTACATCTTCTCGATGTCACTATTAAAAACGTATCTGTATAACCTCCAGCGGAGTATAAGGATCGGAAGATCTGCTTGGAGAACTGGACCTGGGAGAAGTACATCGTTCAGACTTGTGCCATTAGCCGTTGGACTTGAGGCATTAAAGACGACTCGAACTTTGGTGGAGGTACTTTCTGCCTTTATGACAGCGTGATGAGGCAGGAAATAGTTGTCAGAGGAATCTGCTGGCATATTATTCAGTATTTGTGACATATGACCCAACGACTCGTATTCCGCTAGGACCCTACTATATTCTTTTTGTAGGACGGGATCCTTGGCAAGTCGCGTCTCATTCCGGAATAATTGCGAGCATGCCCTTTTAAACGAGGGTCCTAGGCTGATATGTATTGGGAAATCCTGCTTGAAAGGTAGTGAAACTATATATTTCCCATCTTCGGATCGTTGAGTTGTTTTCTTATATAGTTCCTCACAGTGTTTGTCCTCTTCACTTAGACTTTGGTTCTTTGGCAACTCCTCAACTTCCCAGAAAGCAGTAAGCTGCTTGTCCAAGGCGACTTCGCTAAAGTAGGAAACTATATTGGTTGGTTGGATTTGGTGCGTCAGTGCGACCGGTTAATATCCAACCGAACACAGTTTCTTGGACGAGAAGTGTATTAAGAACATTTTTTTTCAAGCAGCTCAAAATAATTTGCGGATAAATATCTACGCCAAGTATAAGGTCTACTTGTTCGTTGACATAGAACCTTTTATCTGCTAAGACTAGATCTGGAAACGCCTGCATATTCAATGCGGTGATATGGCAGGATGGAAGATTTCCAGTCAATTTCGTTAAGACGAGCATATTCGTATGTAGGCGGAACAATGGGTCAACGGGGGACCGCAGTTCTATGCTACATGCTTCTTTAACCTGCGCGGAGGTGCTGTTTGTGATGCCTGAAACTTGGGCATGCATCTTTTTGCATGGCAGGTTGATTCTGCGTTTGAGCCTTTCGGTTACGAAAGAACACTCAGAACCAGAGTCAATAAGTGCTCGTGCTGAAAAATCTGTTCCATTGAAATGTATATTCACGCGAGCTGTCCCTAGAAGCACACCTGAATTCGTGTTCGCATAACACGACTTGACATTTTTGCTTTTATTAGAATTGGGTTTATTCAAGGTGCGCTTCGCTTGAGCCTGATGCGAAGATGATGCAGTATTATTGGCAGAGCCCGTTGATGTGCGGGCCGTTGTTGCCTTTGGCAGAATTGTCTGGACGTGTAGGAGCGAATGATGTCGCGAGTGACATGTGCCGCAGTTAAAGGGGCTTGTGCATCTTGACACAGTATGTCCTGAACTCAAACAATTCAGGCAACTATTGTTGCTTTTCAAGAAAGTAATTCTATCATCTGGCGTTAGCTTTAAAACTTTTGGGCAACGGCGTAATTTGTGCTCATTCGTTTCGCACATTTTGCAATGGACCCTTGTCACGGTTGCTTGAAAGGCGCCAAGTCTCTTTGTGGGTGCTTCTGAGGGATGTCTGGTGCTTTGCGGCTTTGCCGCTTTCCCAGGCTTTGTACCCTTTATGCCTGACATGGCTTCCAAGGTTTGAAACCTATTAGATAGGAACTTG